TATTGAGCCCTGCTGACCACAGGCCACAGCACTGCCTTCTGAGCGCAGCTGGCCAGGGTTCTGGGGAGGCAAAAGAGGGTGCTAGCCCAGCAGGCCTTGCTGGCTGAGGCACAGGAGGTGCCCTTGTTGCCTGTGTGCAGCGAGGTGGAGGCAGTCACCTGGTTGATAAGCAGTGCCCCTCTGGGCTTCGTTCTAGAACCAAAGAGGCAAAACTTCAAGAGGAGCGGTCACAGACACGAGTGTGTGCCCCACAGACGGCTGGCCGGGGTGAACCAGCAACACGCAGTACCGCCCGGGGGGCCCATTTCCCTCCGGCTCCCCCGCGCCTGCTGCTCGAAGAAGAATGCTGGAATGAAGTTCCCGGAGCCCAGCCCGACAGCGGGCCATTGTTGAGAAGGGTTGGCTCTGGTCATTCTCACTCCCCGCCACCCACTGCTGGCTGCCAGGGCCTGTCAAAGAGTCTGGGTCCACAGAGCCAGCAGCCAGCCCCAGCAGGCACTGGCCTGCTGAGAGAGACACTGGTCTTTGGTTCCCCGTTTGGGTCCTTGAGCCTCATCCTTTCAAGATGACCTTGACTGCTCTCATCTCGTCCTGGTTGAGGGGATTCAGGTTAAAACCCTTCAGCTCTGGCTGGCCTAGGAGAGAAGACCGTTCATTAGCAGGCTGGGAGGGGCCGACACTGTGTCCAGTTCTGAGCCTCCAGCCTCAGATGCCTCGGTGTGTGCCCCGGGCCTCTGAGAACCTGCCAGGGCACAGCTGCTGCCCGGAGAACTCTGAACTGTGGGCTCTGGAGTGCCTGGCTTACCCAGAGGGCCAGCCCTGGCTTCCCTCCCCACCCAGCTCTCAAGTGCTCCCGCAGAGCCAGCTGTCCTGGCACCACAGTCCCTCTGCCGCACACCGGGCCCTGGTCTATGCTGTGAGACCAGGCTGTCCTGTCCATGCCCTACTCTTGGTGGCTTTAGACAACCACTGCCCATCTGTTAGTGCCTCTCACAGGCTGCTCAAGCCCCTGCCTAGCTCCAAGGGGCTTCTAACTCCTGCCCCTCCAAGTCCTCACTGACAGCCCTTCACAGCCCTAGTTAAAACTCCCTCCCCCCACCCCACCCCCCAGGGAATCAATACCTTGGGCCTCAAGGAGGCGGTTGACCTTCAGTTTAAGTTGCTTCCGGAGTGTGTCTATTTCACTGTCCAGGTGAGCCTGGTCTGGGAAGCAGAGCACAGGGTTATACTACCGACAGACACCCAAAGGTCTCCCCCACCCCTTTGCGAGCAAGGGCTCTGAGCATTAGGGCAGCAAAAGAGCCTTGAGACCTACAGGCTGGGGCAGGCAGCCCTCGAGGGCAGGGCAGGCGTACCAGCCGGGCTCCCAGCCGGAACCCCCTGGGGTGCTCTGTGAGTGGTGGTGCAGCCCCCCCACCCGCAGGAGAAGAGCACCAAGTCCACCCAGGCTTTGTGAAAAGCCGTAACTGGGGAGCAGGGGAACTAGTCCAGGCCTGGTGCTCCAGCTTCATCCACAAGCACCTTGGAACGAGAGCATCGTCGTGGATGTAAGGGGCCCGGCTGAAGGACAAAGTGCCTTAGAAAGGGAGGCATGATGACTGGCGCCGTCGTCGACTACGGTGA